GAGAGAGAGAGAGAGAGAGAGAGAGAGAGAGAGAGAGAGAGAGAGAGAGAGAGAGAGAGAGTGATCAGAGTGACCTGTGAGGTGAGAGTGAGAGAGTGAGAGAGTGAGAGAGTGAGAGAGTGAGAATTGAGAGAGCAGAGAGAGAGCGAGACTTACCTGCATGCTAACTTGAGCGGCCATAGCCGCTGATGACGAAGAAGATAACCAAGCTTGTATGGACCATTGAGACTCTTTTGGACTTTTTGTGACATCTGTGAGTGCGGTGTGATGCAGGATCTGTGTCTGAGTGTTCATGCATGGTGGTCTCAGTGCAATTTGCACTAGACCGAGTTTGGTGCAAAATGAGTTGTGCAGACATAGATTGAGAAAGTAACATTTCAGTCATTGGAACCTTGTAGGTGGGAAATGCTGGCAGTTTTTTGTCTGCTTGACTCTGTCGAATCTATCACAGTTTAGCACTTTGGAAATGTCTTGTTGCCTTCTGATTGGTTGTATAAGTTGTCAGACTGTTAGTAGTGTGATTGCCTTTCTGTGTGCACTTCACTCATAAGCTAACAGCAGAGAACGAAAAACATCAAATTGATTCGAGTTTACGTCAAGTTTGATGCCTGTAAGCCAATCCCTATTAGAGTTGTTAAAAGGACAAAAACCTGCTGGAAGGGCCTTTACGAATTCAGACCCCAAATGGTGATTGCAGCATAATGGGGCCCGTTCGGCCAAAACTCAATTTCGTGAAAAGCGTTCCAAAGGACAAGTTCCCTGAGCCAGAAGTCACATCCAGATTGAAATGAGAAGTCGTTTCAAAAGTCACAGTCAGGTCCTTAGGCGAACAGGTGTTACATTCAATTTTAGAACTAAGGTAAGGTCACGTCTGTTCGTCCAGAAGTCAAGAGGCACAGTCCCAGTCCAGTTGCAGTCCCACAGGTCATTTCTGACTCAGACCAGAAGTCCGAAAGTCAGGCCCGACGGCCAAAGCAGCAGCAGACCCTGGGGAAAAGGTACTGGGACACACACTTTGCAACAGCAGGTACTGGGGAAGAGTCCCAGGCAGAGGGAGGCTGAAAGTAGACCTAGCCAGACCAGTCCAGCAGTATAAAGGACTGGTCAATCTCCTCATTCGGCAGATACTCATTGGCACGAGTGTGTGGAAGTGCTGAAGCACTTGTGCGCAGGATGCTACTGAGCAGAGCTAGGCTTGCGAGCTGCGCTAGGAAGAAGAAGGGAGCTGGACGCTGGCTTGGACAGGCAGCCATAGCTGCGCCAGTAAGAGCTGTTAGTAGTAGAGGGGTTAGTCATAGGGGTACCAGATCAGGACTATAGACAGAAGGAGAGAAGAGAAGAGATCAAGGGGGAAGGGGTGAGCTATGGTGATACCTACCTGTTGAGCACTGTTGTTGAACGTTTGGTAGCTGGTGCTGATAAGCACCAGGCCTGGGAACTCATGTTGATTGAAGAACACTTGTAACTCTGTTCGGCGCTGTACATATTTGAACTCTTGATGTTCTCTCTTTAATCTGGGTTTGATAATTGAGTTAAGCTTCCTGGTCCTCATTCATCTTCTATTGGGCTTTGTGTGAGACATCGCAATCTGTATAAATGCATGTGAACTGATGCACTCCAGCAAGTGATGAACAGTCGGGTTCCTTGCAATTTGGTATCGGAGCAGAACTTGTTACTCTCACTGGTTGCGCTGGCATGATCGAGGCCGGCGAGAAGGATATGTTGGCTTGAGGCTGCTGGCGGTAGAGGAGGATTGAGAAGAGAGTGGATTGGGATAGGAGGGGGAAGATTGCCGAAGAAGAAGGGACTAAGGAGGTGAGGACTAACCTGCGTTTGGAGCGATTGGAGCGAACGAGGACTCTTCGTCGACGGCTACAAAGAAGCTAAGCACCTCCAAACCCTATTACCTGGCTGATTGCAAATCTGTGTGTCGTGTACCTACCATCTTCCCCCTTCTCTTTGGTGGTCGCTGCTGCTGTCTGGTTGAAACACCTTGGTCTGGTCTGGTTTAGTAGTCAGGGCACTAGAGTAGGGGTCACGATAGAGAGAGTCAGCACCTAGTCCCATCGCCTTGACATCTGGTCTGATAAGAAATGATTATCCCATGCAGGGATTGCTGGCCCTTTCAGTGTTGCTGGGGCCATTGTTCAGTTTCTTCTTCCCCCTTGGCTTCGGGAGGGTTTGCGCCACCCACATGATGTTGAGATCAGGCAACATAAAGCCAGGGCTCTTGGCTGCGGAGCAGGCTGAATGGGAATGCCACCAGGCCGAGAAAAAGAAAGAAAAGGAAGACAAAAAGAAACAGAAAGAAGAAGAAATAAAAAAGAAAGTACAGATGGAAGAAGAAAGGATGAATTGAAAGAGAAGATGGAAAAAAAATTGCAAGAAGAACTGAAGAGCATAGAGGAGGAAGATGAGCCAGAGGATGAAGGAGGAGTACTTATTAGACGCCGGACTGAAAGGGGCGAAAGTAGCCAGACTGGTGGGAGATTGCAAATCAAACCTTTGAACTGGTATGATCAGTATGCGTACTCTAGTGATCAGATCGAAGAAACAGAAGAAGAAAGAGATGTGTTCATCGCAAAATTGGCATCCATTGCTGACGAAAAAAAAAACAGATCTCTTGTTGGAAGAAAAACGAACAGAACTGCACAACAAAATGTTAGCAGCAAAGCGACAAGAGCTTGAAGAAAGGAAGAAGCTGCAAACAGAGGGTGAGAGATTGCAAAGACAATTGCGAGAGCAAAAAGCAAAGCAGACAGCAACAAAAGAACAACTTGCCCTCTTGGCAGAAACTGTCCTCCATACCAAGCAAGAGTTGGCAGCGATGAACAAAACACTGCAGAAAGTTGAAACCCACCAATACGAGTTTGAGGGAATCTGGAACACCTTCCTACAAAAATCTGCAACAGATGTGGATCATTATATTAAGGCATATATCGGGAAATTAGATGATCACATCAATGAAACCTTTACTCCCGCTGTGATTGAAAACATTTGCGGCAGCGGAGGAGGAGGAGGAGATGGAGACAGAGATGGGGATGATGGAGACAGAAAGAAAAAGGGAGTGCAGCAAGAAGAAATTGGGGAAGTGAGGAAGATCAAAGTAAAGGTGTCGTGGACATACACCGACAAGAAGGAGGAGAGTGTGTTGCATTGGATAGCTGCTATAGAATCCTACGTGTATGGGCAGCGCATTCCATACTGGGACAGGGTCCTAATGGCCACTTCATGCATGGCCGACGATGCAACGAGTTTCGCCGTATCGCTGCAAAAAGAAGCCAATTGTCAGACAATGGTAGAATATTCTCAGCAAACCCGTATTGAAGATTTCTTTAAAGCAGTCCGGGAATGATTTGAAGATAAAAACTTGGCTCATAGAACAGAAATGCTAATTTTGAACATTGCAGATCGAAAATGGAAGAGTGCGTCTCAAAGCGACTATGGACGAACGCTTGCAATGCGCTGAACATGGACTCACTCCAACGCAAATCCTCAATAACTTCGCTAGGGCACTGCCCGATCCTCTCCGTACTCAACTTTATCCCCGCACTAAGGAAGAGGGGATGGCGTACGAGAAGTTCAGCAAAATCGCTATAAATCATGTTGGCTTCTTGGCCGAAGCCAACTACTGCCATTATTGGAAAGATCTGCAAGCGGGAAAGAAGTGGCAGAACCGCACCATCTCAGGGTACATACCTGGGAAAGACAACCTCCTTCTGACCTTTGAAGAAGGAGGTGTCGAGACTCTCTCCTACGACCAGATAAATTATGGTCTGAGGGAGGACCCAACGGCACGGTAGTTCAGGAGGGGGACTACGCGGTCGTTGCAGCCCGCGGGGGAGGGCGACAAGGAAGAGGTCGTGGCCGAGGAAGAGGAGGTCGCGGACGTGGAGGAAGAGGACCCGGCACCCAGAGGGGTGGTGGCGAAGGTAGCTACTACGTGGGTGGAAGGGGCTATGGTCCCTCACAAGGTGGTCGAGGTTCCAACTCCACATGGGGTAGAGGAAGAGGCACGTGGTATGGAAATTGGGATAAGCCATATCCACCCCATCCCGGTTTGCCAGAAGGCAAGTCTTGGGAAAAGTTGGGGATTACAGAAAAGGTCTAGCAAGATAGAAAAGTTGCTGACCAGTGTCTCAAATGTGGTGACCCCAACCACATTGTTCCCTACTGCCCGGATTACAAGGTATGAAAAGGGAACAACCACTAGAGGTTTCAGTTGCCTCTACAGGAACTTCGGATGTAGATAGACAGACATCCTCCCATCCGAAGGTTCCCCTGACAGAAACTGAAAAGGAAGACGGTCCCCACCTAGTTAACTTTCTAGAGGTAATTAGTGTGTGTACCTCTCGAGGTGGATCCCTCACTGGCATGCGTGATGAGTTGGCCACTCGTCGCAAAGCTTGGACCGAGATGAAAAAGCATAAGGGATAGTTAATAATTGCAGATCTAGAAGTTAATAAAGTAAAAGTTCGAGGTATGATTGACAGTGGGTCAACTCGCAGCTACATAAGTAAGAAAGGGTTATAGAAGCTGCGTATCGCGCTTAAGGTAAAACAGTTATATGAGCCTGTAGTAAGTAAATTAGCAAATAGTAGTGAAATTGTGATGGACAGATATGCCGAGGGGATCAGGACATACTTTCGGCTCGAGGCAGAGGGGAAGGTGGAACGCATTTTTCACTCTCTGACCCTCTTGGTTGAAAACAGTCGCCCTTTTGACATTCTCTTAGGCACAGATTGGGGGGAAGCTGCAGATGCAGATGAAATTGGGGTCACATGAGTGTTGGCTCCCTAGCTCGCAGGGTGGAAAGAAGAAAATCCGTCTGTATCATGAATCAGGTAAGGAAAGCAGCTTCGCTCATTGTTGCATCAGTGCCCCCGCGTTCGCCCGCCATGTTAAAAAATATAGTTTGTATGATCAAGTGTTTGTGGCATATATGCGCCCAGTCAAGGAAGGTGAAGATAAGGAGGCAAAGTCCCCAGAAGTTTAGAAAATGCTGAAAGAATTCGTAGATGTGGCAGAGGCCCCAAGCGGTGTGGTAGAACGACCCATAAAGGATCGCATTGAGATTATACCCGGAAGTCAGATTCCTCAGGGCCCAGTCTAGAGGATGTCACCCAAAGAGTAGGATGAACTGCGAACCCAGCTAGACGAGTTGCTGGAAAAGGGATGGATAAGACCTAGCTCCTCACCCTATGGTGTGCCAGTGTTATTTGTGCCAAAGAAAGATGGCGGGGTGCACATGTGCATAGATTATAGAAGATTGAATGACATAACAATTAACAATGTTAAGCCATTGCCAAGAATCGATGATCTACTGGATAGAGTTGAGGGATGCAAGTACTTCACTAAGATCGATTTGAAGTCTGGCTACCATCAGATTGAGGTAGAACCAGAAGACCAATACAAGACTGCCTTTCAGACAAGGTACGGGCACTATGAGTTCATTGTGTTGCCCTTTGGTCTTACTAATGCACCTGCAACCTTCCAAAGAACGATGAATGAGCATTTCCGCGAGTGGCTTGATAAATTTGTTGTAATATACCTCGATGATATTTTGATTTTCAGTAAGAATTTGAACGAACATTGTGAGCACCTTCGACTTGCGCTAAATAAGTTGCGTGAGGCAAAGCTTAAATTCAACCCTAAGAAGTGTGAGTGGGCAAAGCGTCAGGTATTGTATTTGGCGCATGTGCTTGATGGAGAAGGAATCAAACCGGAAGACGCAAAGATTGCAGCCATTCGAGATTGGCCCAACCCCCGCACTTTGACAGAATTGCGATCGTTCCTTGGGTTGGCTAATTATTATCGGAAGTTTGTTAAACACTTCACGATAATTGTCGCTCCCCTTCGCATGTTGTTAAAGAAAGAAACAATCTGGAAGTGGGACCAGGACTGTACGTCCTCATTTAAGCGTCTAAAGAAGTGCTTGATCAATTATCTGGTCTTAAAGGTCGTTGATCCTTCCTTGCCCTTTGTGGTCACAACCGACCCCAGTCGGTACGGGATAGGCGCTGTACTCCAACAAGATGATGGGAACGTATACAGGCCTGTTGAGTTTATGTCCCGACGACTGCCTAGTGAGAAGGTCGCCGCTTCCACATATGAAAGAGAGTTGTTTACTCTCCGGGAAGCCTTGGATCATTGGCGACACTATCTCCTAGGACGCCACTTCAAAGTGTACTCCGATCATGAGACACTTCACTGGCTGAAAACGCAGGCCCGGATGACACCTAAACTGACAAGGTGGGCCGAGGAAATCGACCAATATGACTTTGAACTAAAACCAGTAAAGGGGAAGTACAATGTTGTTGCCGATGCATTGAGTCGAAGATCTGACTTTTTCAGTGTTATTGTAACCTATTTAGATGTAGGCACCGATTTGCAAGAGAAGATTAAGAATGCGTATCCCACTGATCCTGTTTATGGCGCTATGTTGAAGCATGTTCAGGAAGCGCCACAAGAGTTTCCTAACTATCGTGTGACCCAAGGACTATTGTTTGAAAGAACAGATGTACATGATAGGCTTTGTATCCCAAATGTGGAAGAAACTAAGAGTGTATTCTTGGGGGAGTGCCATGACACGTAAGGCCATTTCGGTTGGAAGAAGACCTATGCCAACCTTCTGCGTTCCTACACCTAGCCTCGAATGAAACCCGATTGCATCGCGTATGTGCAAGGTTGTCAAGTGTGCCAACAAAATAAGAGCACCGCGCAACCTCCCCCTGGTCTACTAAAGCCTTTACCCATCCCAACAGGTCCGAGAGACTCTGTGTCTATTGATTTTATGGACACTAGGATGAAAAGCAGGAATGGAAAAACACAGGTCATGGTAATAGTTGACAAATTTAGTAAGTATGCTGTCTTTGTGGCATTGCCTTCGGAAGCGAGAACTAACTTGGTGATTCGGGAATTCTTTAACCATTGGGTAAAAGACTATGTACATCCTTTGACTATCATTAGTGACAGAGACTCGAGGTTCACAAGTGAACAATGAAAGCAACTAATGAATGTTTATGGCTCTAAATTGACAATGTCGTCAGGCCGACACCCTGAGACAAATGGGCGAACTGAGCAAATGAACAAGATTTTGCAGCAAACTCTGCGCATGTACATTCGTCCCGACCAGATTGATTGGGATGAACAATCTGCCCAAGGTTGCTAGTGCCTATAACAACTTTGTACGCTTGTCTACTTGCAGAACTCCGATGGAGTTGCATCTAGGATGGCGTCCTCGCCGACCTATAGATCGTCTAAACCCAGACCAAGTACACAAGCTTCCTCTTGGAACTAGTGAATTTGCAATGCAGTATCAGAAAGACATAGAGAAGGTAAAGGAGAATATAATTAAAGCACAGCATCAAATGGTAGAACATACCAACAAACATAGGAGACCTTCTCAATTTGTTGTAGGTGATCTGGTATGGGTGAAATCAAAAGAGTTCATCCGTGAGGATAACATCTCTCAGAAGTTGTTACCAGCCTATAGGGGGCCGTGGCAAGTGTTGGATGTGGTAGGAGGTGTTGATGGTCCCTCCTACGTGATTGAGATTCCTCAACATCTGCATACGTATCCGGTGTTTCACGCATCAAAGCTTCTACCTTGCGCAACTAATGAACTGTTTTCCAGTTGCAGATCAGCAATTCCTCCAAGTATGGATGGGAAATATGATGTCGATAGAATCATTGCTGAAAGCACGATTTAGACTGGACACAGAGGTAGACCACAACGACAATATAAAGTTAGGTTCGCTTATCAAGACCCAAGTGAAGACCACTGGTTTAGCAGAGAAGAGCTAATTGAATCTGCACCGCACATCGTATCGTATTATGAAAGAGCAAGAAGAGGAATTAATACTGTGGACAGGTAAAGATTTTCTCAGAGGACTTCGGAATTAGGCCGGCGAGAGTAGAAGGGCTTTTACGAATTCAGAACCCAAATGGTGATTGCAGCATAATGGGGTCAGTTCGGCCAAAACTCAATTTCGTGAAAAGCATTCCAAAACACAAGTTCCCTGAGCCAGAAGTCACATCCAGATTGAAATGAGAAGTCATTTTAAAAGTCACAGTCAGGTCCTTAGGCGAACAGGTGTTACATTCAATTGTAGAACTAAGGTAAGGTCACGTCTATTCGCCCAGAAGTCAAGAGGCACAGTCCCAGTCCAGTCGCAGTCCCACAGGTCATTTCTGACTCAGACCAAAAGTCCGAAAGTCAGGCCCGACGACCAAAGCAGCAGCAGACCCTGGGGAAAAGGTACAGGGACACACACTTTGCAACAGCAGGTACTGGGGAAGAGTCCCAGGCAGAGGGAGGCTGAAAGTAGACCTCGCCAGACCAGTCCACCAGTATAAAGGACTGGTCAATCTCCTTATTCGGCAGGTACTCATTGGCACGAGTGCGTGGAAGTGTTGAAGCACTTGTGCGCAGGATGCTAGTGAGCAGCGCTAGGCTTGCGAGCTGCGCTAGGAAGAAGAAGGGAGCTGGGCGCTGGCTTGGACAGGCAGCCATAGCTGCACCAGTAAGAGTTGTTAGTAGTAGAGGGGTTAGTCATAGGGGTACCAGTGAGTAGTATTCAGAGTAGATCCTCGTGTGATAGGGAGTGTGCATGCATGATGAGTGAGAATAAATCAGGACTATAGACAGAAGGAGAGAAAAGGAGAGATCAAGGGGGAAGGGGTGAGCTATGGTGATACCTACCTGTTGAGCAGTGTTGTTGAACGTTTGGTAGCTGGTGCTGATAAGCACCTGGCCTGGGAACTCATGTTGATTAAAGAAGACTTGTAACTCTGTTTGGCGCTGTACATATTTGAACTCTTGATGTTCTCTCTTTAATCTGGGTTTGATAATTGAGTTAAGCTTCTTGGTCCTCATTCATCTTCTATTGGGTTTTGTGTGAGACATCGCAATCTGTATAAATGCATGAGAGATGGTTAACGGGTGCATATATTTTTAGGTCTCCTTTCCAGGCAGTTCAGCCACTTTAGGTTACTACACCACTTCCAGATTGTGTGTGGATCTATACATGGGGATGTCTGAAACCGCCTTCAGGCAGTTCAGCCACTTCGAGTTGATACACCACTTTCAGATTGCCTACAGATCCATTGCGAATGGTGGGATGGGGGTACCTTAAACCCCTCTCAGAAGCTTCAACCACTTCAGCGGTTTCAGGTCCCTACCTGAAATTCCTAAAATGACTTGAAGTGGCTGAAGCTTCTGAAAGGGGTTTCAGCCACTTCAGCGGTTTCGGGTCCCCACCTTAAATTCTTGAAATGACCTGAAGTGGTTGAAGCTTCTGAAAGGGGTTTCAGGTACCCCCATCCAAATGGTTGGATGGGGGTACCTGAAACCCCTTTCAGAA